ATGTGCGTTAAGAATTAATTTGTCATCTTTTTCCTCGCAATGTTTGTTTGCGTAATTTAACTTTGCAACGTCATTTAACGTCATTTGACGTCACAAACGGCTATTACATCTTTTAACCACGGCAGTTTTGAAGGGCGCTAAATTCACATTAAAATTAACAAAATAAGCAATTATGAAGAAGGATAATTAGAGAATGTAAATATAAGCATTGAATTCATATTTTTGGATGTCTCGGTCCTATACCACACCTGGCCGTGTCGACAAATATGATAAATTGTCGGCACGGCCAGGTGTGTTATAGGACCGAAGACATCCAAAAATATGAATTCAATGCTTAAATATATATTTTTTTAGTGAGGGTGGTAAGAGGGGATGCAGGGACCCAACTTCAACACTTTTACTGAACAACAATTTTTACTTTTGGGCAGTCAGTTTCCCTGATAATACTCCTTCTTTCAAAAACTATCCTATAAAAAAGACTGACATTAATATATATATATTTTTTCATGGCTACCAAAATTTATCAAAAATAAAATTCAAATTGATATGACTGGTAAGTTCATTTACATTTTAATTCTGATTCTCCCTTGTATTTAGCTAGGACTTGAATTAAATGCAAACAAGTAATGATCTAGTGTATCATATAATTGAACAATTATTGCTGTTTTTTTCGGTCAATACGATGATTAAGCCATCTTCGAAGTACAATATTCACCTCGCCCTTCGGGTTCGGTGAATATTGCACTCCTCAGATGGCTAAATCATTTTATCATATAGCTAATAAATAGTCTCTAATAAAATACTACCAAAAAATCTAGAGAATTTTAGCGTTCAATATCTTGACGTTTTTTATTACACACTTAGTAATAAATACAGGTTTTTTGCATATGCGATATGGCTGACGTCACAATAGCCGTATCAACCCTGCAGGGCTGATATGGATTTGTGGGGCTGATATCCGTATCAGCCCTGCAAATCCATAAAAAATCAGCCCTGCAGGCCAATACGGCTATTGTGACGTCAATATCACACCCTATAGTAAATTAAACCACAATAACAGTACTTGTGATCATACACAATTTTTGGTGGGTTCATATTCTCTTAATTTTAACTTTTTGAAAATAAGGTTAATCTTAATTTACAAATACATGTAATACTATAGAATATTTTCAAATTACGGATCAAGTGCATTGAAATAGAAGTAGAAACAAACCCAAATCTTATGAGACATTAGACTATGTACATGTATGTAAGAAGTCCATGCATGATTATTTACTTATTTTCTTCTCAACTTAATGCGTGCTGTATTTTATTACTAAGTATGTAATAAATATAATAATACACACCCTTTTCCACATCACATCCTGTTTTTTCATCAGCCCTCGACCAAAATCAGCCCTCGGGCCTTCGGCCCTCTGGCTGATATTGGTGTCTCGGGCTGATACAGGATGTGATATGGAAAAGGGTATGTATTATTCTCTATATTGTATTAATATGACAATAGCACAAGGTTGGCCCCTTTCTAATTCCAAATTACATGGAGTCCCCCTCCCCCCCCCCCCCAGAAATCCACTCATCTACACTTGTATGGAATGAAAAACAAGGGAAATCTCTATACACCCTTGATTGGACCTGCATAACAATTTTCTTTCCTATGTACCACCCAACATATTTTGTAAACCTACCAGTACAATATAAGTTCAATTACCCTATAATATAAAGCGGATACACAGGTTAATAATATAGGGTTATTGAACTTATATCGGTGAATATTGGCACGAGTTGGCTGTTCAAACGCACGAGCTTGCGAGTGCATTTGAACAGCCAACAAGTGCCAATATTCACGGATATAAGTTTAATAACTCCCTTATTATATAGCTAAAAAATTTCCACATAATTTATAATAATTATTCCAACCAAAAAACCCTCAAATTAAAGATTTTTTTAGTATCGGTATTCAAATTATCGTCTGTCCTGTTAGCGTTCAATATCGCATCATTTCGATGACCCTACCGAGCTTTATGATTTGCTTAAAATAGGTGTTAATGGGTCTAATACGTACTATATTTTAATAAATAATTTCATTAATGATTTTTGCGTGAAAAATAAACACATCTTACCTAGATGCCACTTCTTTTCTTTAAGGATTTCAATCCCTAATGGTACCAAATTCTGTACCCTTAAATGTCCCTCGAGTACACAATACTCTGAAATTATATTAAAGCATTTTATAGTGGAAAAAGATTGCCCACGAGAAATTTTCTTTTTTGTTTAATTAACAAAGATTGCATTGGGGCGTTTTTTCAATAAAAATATAATTTCGTATTAAATCCTGTGGTTGAATGTTGAAATATTATAAATAGAATGATAATAAAAAATTTTTTTACATATTTTTTTACGATTTTTTTTTATTAATTAAAAAAGGGGAGGTACAAAAATTCAAGGTCATGAATTCAATAAAATGTCAATTCAATGATATTATGAACATTGAAATTCTTCCTATTAGATTTTTGGTTTGAGTTTTTTTGTTTATTTTATCAGAGACTATTTATTAGCTATATAATAAAAAACTATTGATAATATTGCGGATATACAATTAATTCATGTCTCCCATAAAACATTTTGCTCAACACGTAGAAGAACTGCATGCTTTTTTGCTGCGTGGCAATACCTGGCGGGGATGCTGAATTTTTTTTTATTGATTTTTTTTATTGAATCACGGATCAGGTAACAATGTTATTCCTTCAGAATACCTTCCAAAAAGTAAATCTACACACTCGGAATATTTACTATATGATGTTTATACCTCCAAGACGGCTGCTCCCACCTCTTATGTTTGAGAGGTCTGTGTTTGCTCAGCTCTTGATGTGTATTGTTTGTATGAACTTGAATACTGTTAGTCATCTCCATACATTTTATACAGTGATCCTCCCCCCGAAGCAGCCTATTTAACATGTTAAAGCTTGCACTCTCCAGTTTGCAGGTTGCGTAATATTTGTAGTGTTGATTTATGCTTATCCTTTGTAAAGTTGCATGGCCACTGCTTGGGTAAATATTTTAAAAAATGTCAACTTCAAAATCTGAATCTGATTCACGACTGATAGTTATGATCTCTTCTGGCCTCATAAGTTCCACCAACACAGGGATCATGAAAGATAATTAAAATATATGAAGATAACGAACAGCGTTCAAGCTAAGAAGTCCAAATGCATTATACAGTACAAATAAGAAGCAAAGGAAACATCAGAGGTTGGATCAAGTGCCATGGAGGAGTGAGCATCTCCTGCCGACCGGTCACGCCCGCCGTGTTTTTTTCTTGCTCAGTAAACCTTCAAAAGATCACATATTTAAAATCTCATATCTAATTTGAGTAATTTCAAACATAGACCCACAAACCACAATTATTTCATAACATAACTTAATTCTTAAGATGGATATCTATGATAAGCTTTTGTAATAACCACACCCTTTTGAGCCATAGGGGAAGAGATGATACCCAATACTGTATGATGATATCCCATACTGAATATCTCATCGATTGTATTAAAAAGTTTTTTCTTTCTCAATTTCTGAAAATCGTCACCAGCCACGACCAAAATGTACAATCCTCTCCCATTCTAGGACAAAACTATTTTAGGACTCCGGACTGTGGCTTGAGATGATGATTTCTGAAAAACTAGAACAAATTTATAAATCATTTTATATCATTGTATTTAAATTCGTTTTGTTTTATCTAAATATAAATTGTAAAAAGCATTTACATGACGATACTTAGTAATTCCCGTATACATTGTAACACTAATGTTTTCTTACAGTAAGGTCGTTTGCCAATGAAGGTTTGCTTGAGACATACCAGGAACTCAACAAGGACAATGTCTGGGCCGCCGTCGTGTTCGATACCTCTTCTAATGACTACTCGGCCGCCATACCAGATCAAGTCAAGTACACCCTGAGGGTAGCGCGGGAAAACGCAGACGACAGATGGCGCACTGACAACACGTACCCCTTCTTCAGGGTCCCTGGTTACAGAAACAACCTACAATTTGGAGGAGAACCTAGTACGTCATCAATTCTGGTTTTTAATAAATGAATTTGAAAGGAATTTTTTATATTTGACAAGTAAATCAGTAACAACTAACTTCTATAAAGAAATCTTAATTTATTTTAAAAAAAAAATACTCTGCAATCCAGTGGCATCCGAAAGTAATCTACTTGAATTGTCCGAGTGAGAATAAACCAGTGAGTGAACTGGCTAGGGCTAAACTTAAAGGTAGTCAGTGGTTAGTTAATACAGGTATGTATTGATAATTTACAGATTATTACAAGACCGGCTTCCTCAGCCTCCAGTATGAAGTGGGTCGCGCCATTATTAACAGGAGATCAGGGAACACCAACTTTGACAACTTGGACTTCTACATGAAGAAGATGCCGTACCAGGACTTCATTAAGGACAATCTTATCAGCGTACTACAGATCTGGCTCCCATTCTTCATCATGCTCAGCTTCATCATCACCGCTCTGCAGACGACAAAAGGTGTGACGTATGAAAAGGAAAAGAGACTGAAGGTAATCACAACTCTATTATTTGAAGGGACCAGGAGAAATTTCGAGTTTGAATACTCCCTTTTTTTGTCTATCAAGTTAAAGGAGAATTAATTCGTTTAAAATTAAGTAGTCAATAAATTTTGTATCAGTCTTAAATCAAATAATATGTCGTGTTAATTAAAGTATAAATAACACAATATTCATAAATCCGGAGCCATTTGAGGTATGGACCCTCCCCTTCTATCTTACTTGCTTGACATTACTGTAACAAAAAAGGGGGGGCAACCGGTCTTTCAATGAACATTTTCGATGTTAAAAAGTTATGTTTGAAAAAAGGGGGGGGGGCTATTCACAAAATTATTTTCACATAAACCTCATATTTTAATTTTATGTTGAGATAAAAAAAAGAATGAGAACAAATTTTTCTATTCACAGTCTCAAATTTTCTTCATATTGCATTAGACAAAATTCATTTTCTTTTTTGAAAAAGCAACCAAGGCTTTATACATCAAACTATATTCCATTTGAATGTAGTGAAATGCAGTTAATGAAATCAATGTTGGGAATTATTTTTGAAAAAAAATGATGAAATTTATAGCAGATGGATATTTCAACTTGAGGTAATTCCACCCTCCTATGATGTCATAGGTTTTTGCAAAAAACTGTAATTAGTTTAGATTCATATAAACATGTAATAGAACAATATCTTTTGGAAGAATGTCTTACAATAGGTGTAATGATAGATATTGTTTAGTAAAAAGAAAATTAAAATGCATATTTTATTTATTTAATCAATTATTCAATCTCTATAAAATGTTGACAAGAGCAATAACTCCTTCTAAGGTCTCTTCATTCATGCATTTGCTTTATTGTACTTGTAATGTAAAATAGTTTCCCTGGTACTAACAATTCAAAAGTATCTCATAAGTAGGAAGTATATAGGAACATTCAGCATCAGAATTATGCATTTTAACCAGTTTTTACACATTTTTCATAACACTGTTTACAAAAAATGTGCAATTTTTTATGTTGACATACACTTCTGTTCATTTATGTTTCGGATTTTAAATTATATGGTGACCTATACATTTTTTGCAATAATTGGAAAATTAAAGTATATTAAATGAAAATAAATACAGTTTTTGTACTATGAACCATTAAAATTGTGAGGGTGGAAACACCTTAAGTCAGGTTTCTCACTCGTTTGTAATATGTACTTACGACGCTAATCAAAGATTGTGTCAGTTTTCAATAGAATAAAATATGCCTCGATATTATAATCTTCAGCAATTAATACTTTGATATGATTTATTGATTTCATGTAATTAAAAACTATGTCTTTTTTCTGTGGACAATATAACGATCTATTTGTCGAAAGAAACGTGATAATTGCTCCGTCGTTACTGCAAATAAGCATTGTGTTACACTGGTGATAATAACACGAATAATGAACAAGTGTAATGAATGTGTCTGTTGTCGACCTCGTACGTGGAGAAGGATTCTCAACCATTCTGAGAATGACTCTTAGACCTCCCCATATAGCGATGTCATTTCATATAAACTGGGTCGTTTCCTTTTTGTAACTAGAAAATTGTGCTCTTTTGCAGATTTATAATGAGATTTTAACTAATCTATGTTCCCTTTTGTTGGCTAATACTCAGCTCTTTATAGACTTATGAAGAATCTGGTCTTTATACTTTTACAGACCAATGTTAACTCTGATGTTCAGCCTGAGAGAAGGTTTGTGTTTTCACCTTTTCAGACTTTGAGTTTTCTTGGTCTTCGATTCTTTGTAGACCTTTAAGGGGTTTGGTATTCAGTCTTTTGTAGACCTTCAATGAGTTTGAACATCAGTCTTTTATAGACCTTTAAAAACTTTGGTAGTCGGCCCTTTGTAGACCTCTGAGGAGTCTGGTCTTTGACCCTTTGTAGACCTTTGATGAGTTTGGTCTTTGACCCTTTGTAGACCTTTGAGGAGTTTGGTATTCAGTTCTTTGTATACCTTTGAGGAGTTAAGACTTTATAAACTTTTGAGGAGTTTGATCTTCAGTCCTTTATAAACCTTTGAGGAGTTTGATCTTCAGTCCTTTATAAACCTTTGAGGAGTTTGATCTTCAGTCCTTTAAAGATCTTTGAGGAGTTTGATCTTCAGTCCTTTATAAACCTTTGAGGAGTATGATCTTCAGTCCTTTATAGACCTTTGAGGAGTATGATCTTCAGTCCTCTTTAGGCTTCTGAGGAGTTTGGTCTTTGACATTTTGTAAACCTTTGAGGAGATTAAACTTCAGCCCTTTAGATCATGTTTATAGAGGTTATGGAGTTTGTACTTTAGCCCTTTAATAATCCTTTGAGGAGTTTGGCCTTTCGATCCTTTCTAGACGTTTGAGGAGTTTGGTTTTAGAACCCTTCGTGGACTTTTTAGGAATTTTGGTCTTTGTCCCTCTTCAGGCCTCAGAGTAGTTTGGTCTTTAGACCTTTATAGACCCTAGTCTGATTATTAGTCTTTTTGTAGAATTGTTCGTGTATCACAAAGGATTACAGTGGACCCTCATTTATCCGAACACTTTGGTTCCCAGTCAATTTGTCCGGATATGTGAAATTTGCATAGACCTTTGGATATCTGATCATCACCAAGTTAAACAAGACAAAATAATATTTAAAAATTTTTAGGATTTTGCGTCTGGATCTTCTTTATGCCTCAGAGTAGTTTGGTCTTTATACCTTTATAGACTCTTTGATTATCAGTCTTTTTGTAGAATTTTTTGTGTTCTAACACATCTATGCAGTTTTTTCTATCCTGAATTGATATGAATACGACCCAACAAAGCAAAGATATTGGAATACCTAGAAATTCTTCTACAAGAAATAAATTTGAGCAATACAATAAACAAAGCTAGTTATTGATCAATAGATAAATAACGTTCTCTGGGTGATGTATTACTTAACAATAGGTATACGACCATTTGTATTTTGTCATTTATTGTATATTAATATACATATATCAAGGTAAATGCCATGCCAAATGCAAGTAATGAGTTCATATTTAGAAATTAGTTATATAGTGTTTGATGGAAATGTTTCGCCACTTTTCTGTTATCCCAAAGGTTTTGTTCATATACAATTATGGCATGCCAAACGTTGCATTTCTCATCGTGAAGACTAGGTATATTTAATTATTTTTTGTGCACGAATTATTTACTTGTTTTTAATGATTGTGACTTTTAAGAAAACATGCAAATCGGATGAATTTTAAAATAATATATTTAACAGAAGGTCAGAAACCAGGTTTAAATTAATGACGTCGTTAAGCCATCTGGTCTCTAAACATATATACCCGGTATTTGTATTGGCAGTACTTCACATTGTTGTATTTCTGAAATAAAAGATATCACAAAGTCTGACAAATGTATTTTTTTTTATATTTAGATATTTTACTTGTAAAAGACGTTAGTTGTAATCTAACAAACACGATTTATGATAAAAAAAAACTGTTTTGATGAATTTTACTTCCCAATCGTTGCCTTCCCTTACTTATGCTGCAGTATACCTTCATGAGCTGCATACGCTTTTTATATCTCTTTGTTGATTAAATACGCGAAACCATACTCTACGTGTGAACAATTTCTAAGCTAGGTTAATTATTGACAAACAAGCTGCTGCTGAAAAAAAAATCAGCAGTCTCGTTTAAAATCATCATTTTGTAAGTTCAATAGTCGATACAATGACCTTGTCAGCAAAAACAATTTATCAATACACTGTACGTTTTTTGCTGACAGACATTTCTTCATACAAATTGTTAGGCCATTATTTACACACTAAATTGTCCATAAATTTTCCCTTATTTTTCCGATCATAACAAGGAGCACATGGCAGGCGTCGTGGGTCAGCAGGGGATGCTCACTCCTCAATGGTACCTGACCCAGCCTCTGATGTTGTAGAGGTCCATGCTTGCTCAGCTCCAATTTTATATTGTTTAATGGACTTTTGAGTTTTAATACTCTATATATTTCATTATTGTTTATATATTCATTTAAAAAGGCAAAATTTTCTTTTTTACTTCAAGAGAGGATTTTCATTGAGAATTTAATACGTGATAATATATAAGCATAGTTTATATTTTTTTTTTCCATAATGTATATTTAAAGGTTAAATTGTAACAAATTTTAAGGGTTTTTTGGGGGGTTTTTTTTGTTTTTGTTTTTTGTTTGTTTGTTTTTTTTTTTTTTGCAAAAATTCATGTAGTATATGTGCACAAAGTAGTACCCGCACGGTTGGGAAAAAGGTAAAGTGTGAAAGGCAGACTGAACAAACAAACACACGGGTAAAGATTGACCGACAAAATGTTAATCCTTGTGCACCAGTCTTTCATTAAGACAGATATGATTTTGGGATATTTTGATGGGGTTTTTGTTTTATAGAAATGTAATTTATAACATCTCCTGTTTTCCACTAGGAATCTATGAAGCTGATGGGTATGAGTGAAGCCATGTACTGGGCTGCAGTCTTCGTCAAGGCCATGATATTCCTGCTCCTGGCCTCGGCATTCTTCATCCTCTGTATGTTTGTGAAGGTGGGAGACAATGGCCGTGTGTTCAACGCCTCGGATGCTTCCCTCATCTTTGTCTTTTTCATAATTTATGACATTTCTCTCATCACCTTCTGTATAATGGTCAGCACTTTTTTCAGTAAAGGTATGTGCTTGAATTTAATTTTGGAAAATATACTTTAACATATCGAATTTACTTTTCATTCTTAACGCAGTAAAACTTTACCTTCTAAAGGTCCAAGTTGTAGTATTTGTCATTTTTAAAAGATTTGCTGGTTTTTTAAAAAAAGTTTTGCTCCATTGTACTTGTCTGACCTTGCACAAAATTTCTCGGCTATGAAATTCTTTTTTTCAGCTAACACCTCGGCCTACGCAGGTGGTCTTTTGTATTTTGGATTCTTTTTTCCGTGGTTCTTCTTAAACACAGAATACGAAACTATGACTACAGGAGCAAAAGTTGCCTCCTGTCTTCCCTTTAATACAGCAATGGCGATGGGATTCAACATCATCGGAATTCACGAGGGCACAGGTTTGATACAACAGTAGTTTGTTTAGTATAAAAGAGATGAGTTTTCATTTGATATTTGTTTACGTGCATACAAGACGTCCAGAAAATAAATTTCAAACCTCCGAGAAGTGATTAGAAAATATTTAGAAGTAATGAAACATACGCACGGAGATATCGAATAGTATTCAAGATAAAAAGTCCATAAAACAATAGAAAATAGGAGCAGAGCAAACACCAAATGCCTAGATGCACGCATACCCAACACTTCTGATCAATATCATATTTTACCCTAACCAAATATCACCAACTACCCTCGGAAGCCTACCTATAGTGAAATTCATTAAGATTTACTGATATATTTTGAAAACGTCGGACACAAAGCTAACGAAGGTAATGGATTATTCTCCAGCATACACAGATATACATTTATCATTGAAATCTATCTGGTATCAAAGCTCTCTCTTAATTGCTCTTAAGCAAATCCCAACACAATCTCTTTACAGCAGTTAGAGTTTGAATTATATAAATACGAAATGCATGAAATATATGGAGAAAACGAACAGTGTTCAATCCCAAAAGTCCATTAAACGATACAATATAGGAGCAGAGCAATTGGACTTCAAAAATATCAGAGGTGGGATCAGGTGTCGTGGAGGAGTGAACATGCCCTGCCGACATCACACCCGCTGTGTACTCCTTGTCATGATCAGGAAATAACGAAAAAAATCGTCAAAATTAGTATGAAAATTGTTAGACAGCATTCGACTTAATGATAAATTGTTTATGCTGAACAAGGTCATTGTATTGACAATAGAACTTAAACGAGACTGATTATATCCTAGTTTCACCAAATTACTTGTTAAAAGCTCGCCTCGATTGATAGTTCGTACTTACTACCAGTCTAGCATGCTTTTGCATATCAAAGAGACAAATGTAAACTTGCATTCTGATTACAGGCACTATCGATTGAGCTTTTTAAAAACATCTTTCAAGACTTTCAGCAACGTTCACTACCAATTAAACATAGTGCACTCAGTACTTTCAGTTTCTTGCTTTATACTTTAAGGTGAGGGCGCTCAGTGGAGTAACTTTAACAAGCCGCCCTCTGTTGACGACAATTTCTCCCTGGGCGGAGTGATGCTGATGCTGATCCTAGACATCGTCATACATCTTCTTGTCACGTGGTACGTTGGAAATGTTTTCCCGGGAGAATTTGGAATTCCCAGACCGTTCTACTTTCCATTCACGGTAAATATTTCCAGTTCTCGGCAGAGTTTTACTTCGATGTCAGTTCAAAGTTCTCATGTATCCTTGAGGTATATTAAGATTTAGCAACCATTTAGCGATCTTACTTGGGCTCTTTATTCTAGAAATCTTACCGGGACAGTTTATTTTAGCGATCTTATTTGGGCTGTTAATTTTAGCGATCTTACTAAGACTGGTTATTTTTATTCACTGGGGCCTTTTGTTTTAGCATTTTAATAAGGCCTTTTATTTTAGCGATGTTACTGGGGCTGTTTGTTTTAGCGACGTTACTGGGGCTGTTTATTTTTATTTACTGGGGCCTTTTGTTTAAGCATTCTAATAAGGCCTTTTATTTTAGCGATCTTACTAGGACTGTTTATTTTTATTTACTGGGGCCTTTTGTTTTAGCATTCTAATAAGGCCTTTTATTTTAGCGATCTTACTAGGACTGTTTATTTTTATTTACTGGGGCCTTTTATTTTAGCATTCTAATAAGGTCTTTTATTTTAGCGATCTTACTGGGGATGTTGTGACAAAACAGAGAAAGACTTTGACAGAGACCTCCGCCATGACACCAGTAATCCAAAGTTCTTCGAACGCGATCCACCAGAACTTAAGCCTGGAATCAAAATACTGAAACTCAGAAAGGTGAGCGAGTCTCTTTGTGGGATAGATTTTACGTATCTCTGAAATAAAGTTATGAAACCATTTATTTTTATTGTAAACCGAACACAACTGTGTTACCTCTAGAGATTTTGAGTTTCCTCTTGATGTATATTATCTCCTCTAGGAGTGTGAAATTTCCTCTAGAGGTTCTGCAATTTCGCTTTAAGTATTGAGTTTCCTCTAGAAGTATTGATAATATAGTATCTCACCTCATCTATTAGTTTTTGATCAGATTCTGTAGGTGTTCGGTCGAGGCAGGAAGGTATGGATAATATAGGTAGAATGTCTCACCTCATCTATCAGTTTTTGATCGGATTCTGTAGGTGTTTGGTCGAGGCAGGAAGAAGAAAGTGGCCGTGGAGGGGACGACACTGAATATTTATGAGGGACAAATCACTGCTCTATTGGGTCACAATGGCGCCGGCAAGACCACCACCATGTCGATGCTAACAGGTGCGTGCCTATGTCACAATTAAAATAATAGCATCATTTTCCTGACCGAAGAGGAATAACATTAACTTTATGGGAATACACAGTCTATTCATTTCTTATATTTTTAGCAAATTTTTCATCAAGTTTCACAAAATATAAACAATAAAAGTATTTTATTAGAGAGTCTCACTTTCGAATTTTAAATTGGGAAATATTTGGAGGAGAAGCGCATAAATGTTCGCACAGAACAAAACGACAAGGGACGACCTTTCTGCAATGTCAAAACGTTACAATTCACAAGAAAATTATACGTTAGAAAAGGAGAGAAAAAACTTTCTACATTCAGTTCATTGTTAAACATTCACATTTTCAAATTCTAACCCTAGCCCAGCTTAATTCTTAAAAGATGTATGCATCATTGTGCATGATATATACGTGTAAATAGCATTGAAATCTTGTGTGTTTTTTTCAGGTTTCCTACCTCCAACCAGCGGCACGGCCAAAGTCAACGGATATGACATAATGACAGACATTGACAAGGTCCGACAGAGCATTGGACTGTGTCCGCAGCACGACATCTTGTTTGAGTCTATGACGGTCGAGGAACATCTGTATTATTTCTGCAAGGTATAAAGCAAAGCTCCGCATTAAACAATGCCTAAGTGTCTTTTATATACACACTGATGCAAAAAAGGACTTTTATCTTGAAGAATGGTTTCATCGTATTACAGTTCTTAGTATAAAAAAGCATTTTTTTACGGAGAAGCAAATAAGATATGTCTAGGTCTTTGTTTAACAAAGAAAATATTTCCTTACTCTTTTCTCCCTCCTCCGTGCTTGGGTAGGAAACTAAGACAAGATACAATTTACTGAAAGCTCCAGCCCCCAAAAAGTGAATTGGTCGTAGACTGAGGATTTTTATACAACTTTCTAAAATAGACGACATGTGGATTTTTTCTTGATGTTGATTATAAGTTTTACGTATGCATGCTGTAAATAAAATCATTTGGTACGAGTAATCTTTGTTTTTGGGCACTAATATTTTACACATTTTGATTGCTTTACACTCTGGTCCAGTAGTAAATCTGGTATTGTGTACTCTACGTAATCGCCTTTTGTGTTAGAATGTTAAAGTAAAATCCGAAAATTTTATGGTCCCTGTACAATGTTGAGTTAGATTTATAGCTTGACTCAGTTTTTGTTAAATGCCTATATATTGATAATAAAACAATCATCACAAGATAAGTTATGATTTGTACTCACTATGTCTTCTAACAGATTTTTATTGTAAGTTAAATTTTCTCTATATAACTAATTTGATATTTTCTATTCAATTTAGCTGAAGGGAACTCCAGCGAAGGATATCACCAATGAAGTCAGGGAAATGATCAAAGTTTTAGGAATGGAGGCAAAAACACACTATGCAGCTGGAAACCTTTCAGGTGGACAAAAACGAAAATTGTCCGTGGGAATCGCCATCATAGGTGATTCTAAGGTATTTTAATTCAGTCTATAATTTAAGTCAAATAGTGAGTACATATGAGCAATATTGACAGGTTTGAAAAAGGGGCTGCCTCAAAGTTACTGACAATTAATGTTCATTCAAATAGTTATTCGACAATACCAAAATATGTAGTACAAACAAGGAACCGGTAAAAGTAATTTACGTTAGAAATCCCTTTCAAATGAAATATCGGGCACATTTGTTTTATATTTGGATCTTTTTTCAGTAAAAGACGTTTATGGTTATCTAACAACAAAGCTTTACGATAAACGTGATGACTTTAACTTTTCAATCGTCAACTTCCCTTACTTATACAGCAATATACTTTTGTCACCTGCATACGGAGTTTATTTCTCTGTTGATTCGATACGGAAAAGCACGCTCTACTTATGATTAATTCTGAAAACGAGGTAAGTTATTGAAAAACAAGATTATGAAGCAAAAATATCAGCAGTCTCGTTTAAAGCCATCATTTCGTAGGTTCTATCATGGTCGATACAATGATCTCGTCAACAAATACAATTTATCATTAAGTCAGATGCCGAGAGACTTTTCTCATACTGATTGTTATTTCATTATTTACACACGGAGTTGTCCAAAGTTTTCCATTGTTTCCCATATCATGACGAGGAGCACACAGCTGATGTGACCAGTCGGCAAGGGATGTTGAGGTTCCTTGATGCCTCTTCTGATTTTTTGGTGGTCCGTGTTTTCTCCACTCCAATTTTATATCGTTTAATGGACTTTAAACATGTTAAATTCCCACGAAAATTTGTGATTTCACAGTATTTCCATTACTTCCCGATATCATGACAAGGAGCACACAACAGATGTGATCGGTCGGCAAGGGATGTTCAGTGTTCATGCAAATATGGCACTTGATGCCTCCAAAAAATGTTTTCTCAGCTCCAATTTTGTATTGTTTAATGGTCTTTAAAGCTCGAGTAATGTTCTTTATTTCCATATGTTTCATGTATGGAGTAACGGACAGTATTCATACTCAAAAGTACCTCCAAAAAATCAGATTGGGGGATAACTGTCGACAATTCAATGTGTGAATAATGGATTAACAATGAATATAAAAAGCGCCAGTCGGCATTTGAATGAATGATAAATTTTATTTGCTGACAAGGTATATATTGTATTGACCTACAAATTACTGAAATGAAGACTTTAAACGAGACTGGTGATATTGTTTCAGCAAGAATTCCTTGTCAATCAATAAATTACCTCGTTTCAGTATAATATCAGACTAAAAGGATGCTCCAGCGTATCGAATTAACTGAGAGATATGAACTCCGTATGTGGGCAATGAAGGTATATCGCTGCATAAAGTATGGGAATTTGACGACTGAAAAGTCAAAGTCATCATGTTTATCATAGAGCTTGGTTGTTAGATGACCATTGAGGTCTTTTTGAAGTAAAATATCTAAATATGAAACAGGCCCGTGTTTGTTCTGTTCCTATCTTGTATTCATATTTTTTTAATTGACTTTTGAACTTGAATACTGTTATTTATCTCCATATAAATGTATTTCATCTGTCAGACTCTGTAGTATCTTTTATTTCAAGCTCACCGGGATCTATCGTACGCACAAAGAATGGAAAACAACATTATTCATTGACAATGCGTCGTCGATATATCAAAATGTCACAGCAAGTGTTTTCATCTTTTCCTGTTTAAGATTTTGGGCAAGATATAATAGCACTGATACAATAATCCACTTTTATTTTCTAAATTGGCATACATTTTTGCTCAGAGACACTGACCTGATATGGAGATAACGAACAGTATTCAATATCAAAGTCCATAAAACAATACAAATTAGGAGCAGAGCAAACACGGACCTCCAAAACATCAGATGTGGGATTAGGTGCCATGGAGGAGTGAGCATCGATCCCCTGCTGACCGGTCACACCCGCCGTGTGCTCCTTGTCAAGATCGGGAAATAACGGAAAAATCTGTATAAATACAACAATTTATATATTTATGCACGATTTAAAGAAAAATTATCAACAGATACCTGCTGCATAGTTGACAAAAAATACTTGTAATACGATCTCAGTTTAATTTGCTGGGAGTTTAGATTCTCTACTGCATGCAGTCACTCGCATCAGAATAGTCAAAAAGGTGAATTAATTTCCATCTATTTGTTAACAAGTTCATAGTTCTACCTTAAAAGACAATGGCACTCAGCTCTTGCTTTGCCTATAATAGAACATATTTTGCTTCATTAAAGTCAAAATAGAAAGGAAATAATGATACTTTACCCAGGTAAGATGACTAATCTTCATTAAGATAGGAAAACATTCTGAATGAAACATATTGAGATTACGAACAGTATTTAAGATCAAAAGGTCACTCGTGTGGCGCAGTGGTTAGAGCGTCTGCTTTAGAGTCGCGAAGTAAGTAGTCAATCATTATGTCGCGGGTTCGAATCCCACTGTGGGACGTGGAGACCGGTCCTTCGGATAAGACCGTATAAATTGAGGCCCCGCGTCGCAATATGTGCTGGCATGAAAAAATCCCTCATTGCTCAATGGCACTGAGTTCCGAGTATAGGACAAAATTTGCAGCTGTCCACTGGCAAGTTGTGGCGTCTCCATATGAGTGAAAAATTATCGAAAGGGACGTTAAACAACATGCAATGAAAAATCAATCAAGATCAAAAGTCTATAAAAAAAATAGGAGCAGAGCACACACTGACCTCCAAAGCATCGTATCTTAAAAACGTGTATGCCAAGTTCTCTTTTTATTCACAGTATAATTTTTTACAGAAATGCTAAGTTTGGTTTTTTAAGATAATAATTTTACGATCTTTTTTTATTTGATTGATTAGATAATAATTCTTGATGAGCCCACATCCGGTATGGACCCAGCAGCACGGCGACAGACCTGGGATATTCTCCAGAAATTCCGGGAGAAAAAGACCATGGTTCTCTCAACGCACTTCATGGACGAGGCGGACCTGCTGGGAGACAGGATCGCCATCATGGCAGAGGGTGTGGTCAAGTGTTGTGGCACCTCCCATTTCCTGAAGAAAGCATTCGGTATATATCTATACATTGAGGTTTCTCTATCATTGAGTTCTAAACATTAAGGAAAACAGTTAAAACAAGGTAAACAATTATAATATTCTGCGGTAAAAAGACTTCTTATCCAGAAAAAAACTAATATGCTTTATTTGAGATAGATTTCAATATATCCTTATATTTTTAAGATATTTTGGGCGAACTTTATACACACACGAAACAAAATTTAAATTTATTCATTATTAAAGATATTTATTTTTAAATTAGAACTATATGTAGACATTTGTTGAGCCATGGGGTTTCTGATGTTTACAGGGGCGGGGTACCATCTGGTTATGGTGAAAGATAAATCATGTAACGTTGCTGAGGTGACAAAATTAGTCCAGTCCCACGTTTCCTCTGCTGTACTCGAAAGTGAGATCAGCGCCGAGTTGTCTTATCTTCTGCCTTTCGATCAATCAGAAACCTTCTCTCAGCTGTTTATGGACGTGGAGAAAAAGAAGTCTTCTCTAGGAATCCAAAGTTTTGGGACCACGGCCACCACAATGGAGGAAGTCTTTCTAAAGTAAGTAACATGTCTACTATAACGGTAAATACATATAAAACACATTGCTTAATTTACATGTTCTTCTTGAAAGAAAGTTTTCATTTATTTGTGATATAAAATAAGATATAGTTATCATTTTTAAAAAGTTGCTAAAATATTGATGCACAATTTTTGTTTAAACGAAGCTTTGGAATTTTGCTTAATACCAATTTAGTATACAAAAAGTCTTTGTAAAGCCAACTTGTTAACAAATTTAACACAGTACTCATAATGTATTTCAACTATGGCTTTTTTTCTTTTCATAAGAGTTGGAGAAAGTGGGCAAGAGGACGTCGAGGAAGAGGCGGAAAGACTGAATGCGCAAGCGCACGCGATTCAGCAATCTCAACAAAATCTTGCCTTTGTACATGAAGAGGGTGATAAAATCCCCATGACAGACGTCAAAGTTACGGTCAATGGGGAGGTGAACGGGGAGGTGAAAGAGGTGAACGGGGAGGCGAAGACGAACGGTGACGTCAGCTTATCTAAGTACACAGGTACCTTAAAATGTTCATCTCGTCCTTGATCCAGGCAGTATAAAACCTTGACTGTAAAAAACATCCTGTAATGGGGACATCAACAAGGAACCTGGTTCGTCCCTGGATCTTAAAACATCTAAATCTTAAGTCAAAAAATTTTTATGCCGTATTCTAAAAAATGTTGAATGAATCAAGGTAGCTAAACACAAATTAGAATAGTTTTCTAGAAAGCTATAAAAAACTTATCTGTTATCTGTAAGTTTAGAGATTTATTTAATAATGAAACGTTTCACAGACGATTGAAACTTTTACTTCCCTCTGTGTGGATTAAAGACCCTTGAACTTGATTTTATTGAGCTGGCAATTAAAAAAATTGTGTATTATTTCCTGTCTTTTCGGGAGTATGACAACCGTCTTTTTCTTCTGCAAAAAAATTGATCTCTATTGTTGGAGCTAGGACGCAGGTTTTGATTCGATTATAAACAAAGATCTCTTAAGTATCACGTTGTGAGAAATTGGAGACGCCAAAAATGTTATCTATCTTAAATTCTTTTTATGCTTATGAATATGCAAAGACATGCTCTAATCTAAAATAAAAAAGATATATAGTCTTTTTAGTGGCTCCCTGGACACTAGTTGGAGAATGTCTTGGACAAAGTATCCATTTGTCTTCTAGATATTAATCTTTACAGGATTATGATTATTGGGTTGAAATAGCGTTAAATATATTTTTTGAAACATTTGGAGATGACAAGCGGTATTCAAGATAAAAAAAAATTGAATTATTTGTTTATTCAGAGTTTAATAAGGAGATAAAGAAAAATGGTGGAATGGCGCTTACCTTTCAGCAATTTAAGAGTATGATCATCAAAAAAGCCATACATTCCTGGCGAAATCGAATCGTGACGTTTGTGCAGCTGGCACTTCCGGTCATCTTCACCATCCTTGCCCTCGTGATCGAGCTGAACGCCTCAGAATTCTCAGAGGAGCCTTCCTTGCCCCTCAATCTGGCCAATTTTGAGAACCCTGTGACGATCTACAACAACCCTACCAACGATATTGCCGGAAAATACAAGGACTTGTTCACGTCGACAGAGGACGCGTCCTCGGCGGCGTCATATGATAGATACGTCATCGACAAAATGAAAGAGGTAATTGAAGCTTCCCTGACCTTGTAAATAATAAGATAATATATTCAAATGATAATATATTCAAATGATAATATATTCAAATGTATTGTTCATGCAATAAACATGCAGAATGAAAACATTATCGAGTCTAGTTAAACAAATTGTGTCCAAAGGTAAGATTTTTTTATTTTCAGTAATTTACACATCTTGTCTCTCAATTTTTTTTATGTAAACGTTATTGAAACTAAAATACAAATTAAATTAAACACAGTAATCCAGGTCAGGGTAGGCTTTCAACAGAATACTGTTATTATTCCCTACAGGTGGGGATGTCGGTCTACAGTAAGAGGTACATCGTGGGTCTGGACGACAGTAATCCTAATACAACCACTTACTTCAATGGCGATCCCTTCCATAGCCCCGCTATAGCGCTTGCCTTCACCCTGGATGCCAGTCTGAAACAATATGGAAGCAGTGCGATGGGTATACAGACAAATAATCACCCATTCAAACGCAGCCTGGAGGACAACAGCCAGAGAGCGGCGGGAACCGCCGGCAGCGGGTTCTCTATTGCGTTTGTCATTCTGTTTGGTGTCTCATTCCTGACTACAAGCTTCATCTTGTTCCTGATCAAGGAGCGCGTGTCTGGCGCCAAACATCTACAAAAGGTAAATCTTTATAGCTCACCTTTAAAAAAATTCCTAAGTGAAATTACTCTTTCAAAAAAATTACTTTTTTTAAAAACTCAAATTCGCTGAAAATCTTTATACGCCTTCAAATATCATATTTTTAATTAACTGCAGTAATATAAATTACAAATATTTTTTTCTAGGTTAGTGGTCTGAGTTCCCTGACTTACTGGCTTGCCAATTTTGTATGGGATTATATAAACTATCTAATTCCCGCCATTTTGATGGTCGTCTGTTTCGCGGCCTTCCGACCTGACGCTTATTTTCTGGGCGAGCCTTCCCGAATCAGCTTGATCCTGTTGGTCTATGTTCTGTTTGGCTGGGCCTCCCTTCCTTATACGTATGTCCTCCATTACCTGTTTAAGACCCCGGCTACGGGGATGGTGACCATCACAATGTTAAACATCCTGACAGGTGAGCTAAAATTATATAAACCTCACACGTAATCTGAGTAAGTATGGTGACCAACACAATGTTAAACATCCTGCAGGCACGTAGTATCGGGGGGGGGCCCAGGGGGGGCCTGGCCCCCCCACTTTTTCTCCCGACATTACCTTTACTATAGAAAATGTTTACTGAAAGGAAGGTTGGCCTCCCACATTTCAGCACAGTGTAGTGTTATAAAGAAAATTTACCCCAAAAAGTTTGAATTGAAAGATAGTCGGTCTTGAAAAAAGTTGGCCACTACCCCCCCCCCCCCCCACCCCCTCCCTTCCCCTACGAAATAGGATTTACGACTTGGGCAATGTTCGTTGAAAGGCTCGTGTTGGCCACCTTTTTTTTTTTTTGCTTGTCAACTTTTTCAAAAAAATTTCTCAGGTTGGCCCCCCCACTTTCAAAAACGATGCTACGTGCCTGTCCTGACAGGTGAGCTAAAATTATATAAACCTCACAAGTAATCTGAGCAAGTTTTAAAGATTGACACGAGAAGTATATGCAAGATTAGCGATATCAACAAAAATGCAATGAATAAGAATTACCTATCCTTTTGCCAAAAATGTAGCTTTAAAAATACTGTTACATAAACATGATTGCGTCTCTGAAGTAGTAACTTGCTATGGCCAGCTTTCACCACGTTTAATCTGCACTGCATTACTTCGGTGATTCCAGGTCTAGCAACGACACTGGCCGTGTTTTTACTGATGGTCCCGACCTTTGGAACACAAAACATTGCTCTTCAGTTGGACTGGATCTTTGCCCTTATTTTCCCACACTATAATCTGGGCTCCAGCATCATGAACATTTATACCAACTACCAATACATAAACACATGCGAGAGCAGTAACTACCAGCTCACGTGTCAAATTCCTGGCCGGGAGACCGGAAGTTGTTGCATGGGTGAGCTATTTAGATTGGTTTTAATTTTGTGGAAAGTTAAAAGATATGAAAAGAACCATACTTTTTCACCAATTTTTTTCCATCTCAAATTTTACAGCCTTTCTAAGATGTAAATTCTTAACAAAACAAAATGGAAGATTTTTACGTATATAGATTTTATGAAACGTAATGTCTTCTTTTACACGATATTAAATGAGTTAAATAGAAATTGATGAAAACCGCTTTATTTTGATGTTTACAAATAAAGAATTTTATTGAAATTTCAAAGAAAGAAGGAATAAACAAAAAGAAAAATTAAATAAAACTTAATAATTAGTTTAGTGTTATAAATATTTCATCTTCAAAAACCATTTAATTATTTTACAAATCAAATCAAATCAGATGAGACGGGTAAAGATTTTATTTTATTTTTTATGCTTTTTTTGCACGTTTCTTTATTATTAAGTCCCCACTTACTGTGACGTATCTTTTAGATAAATGTGGTACCAGTTGTCTGAGATTCGTCCTTGACTACCTCAGCATGACCTACCCTGGGATCGGGAAATACGTCCTGCTGATGGTCATACAAGGCGCCGTCTACCTCCTCCTGGTCACGCTAGCAGAACTTAACTTCTTCTACTGGGTCATGTATAAATTAAGAGGAAAACAACACACGGCCCAGGTGTTCTCCGAGGAGTCTATGGGAAGTGACGAAACAGAGGACGATGACGTCAAGAATGAACGGAAAAGGATCAACGCAACAGAAATATCAAAGCTACAGGAGACAGATGCTTTGGTCCTGAAGAACCTAGCCAAAAACTACGGAAATTTCCGAGCGGTGAAGGGGGTCAGCATCGGTATTCCTCGACAGGAGTGCTTTGGTTTACTTGGACAGAATGGTGCAGGAAAAACGACTACCTTTAAGATGATGACCGGGGATGAAATTGTTACCGGCGGGAACGCCTACCTAAATAAATACGACGTAAAGAATCATATCAAAGAGGTAATAAGGAACTCCTTATTGAATAAACTCTTTTTATCTTTTTCTTGAAATCTCTCTGTAGTGCAATACTTACATTAACTGTTTTAACAGGTCCAACAGAATCTCGGGTACTGTCCACAATTCGACGCATTGATTGATCAGATGACCGGAAGAGAGATCCTATTTATGTTTGCGCGCCTGCGCGGAGTTCAGGAGCAGTATATAGATCGTGTTGTAATGGAACTGATCAAAGTTTTAATGCTGGAGAAGTATGCGGACAGACAATGTGGAACATACAGGTACGAGTAGTTCAGAACATTGGAGTAGATTATTGTCAGAATACTAGATGATAGCATTATAAGACATACATGTCAGACAATTGTCTCGCGCGTTAGTGCTTTGTCATACAGGTTAAACATTGTCAGTTATTTTTGACATTATTAGAACAGACTTTAATTTCTTGAAAGGGGATAATACAGACACACATAACATTCTAAGGGTTACAGATGTAAAACGTGTGACTTTCTTGCGTGTGTTATTCTTTTAGATATGTAATGTCTACCCATTGGCATACCAGGCTAGAAACACACTATTTATTAACATATAGATATAAATATATCCATATAGCAACTATTGTTAAAAATTCAAAAAGAAATGTTGTTGATTGATTTTTTTTACTTTGTTATGTGTTATATATATATACTGTATGATCCAGTGGTGGTAACAAGAGAAAACTAAGTACAGCAATCTCCCTGATTGGAGATCCTCCCTTTATATTTCTTGACGAGCCAACCACAGGGATGGATCCTGGGGCACGGCGCCAATTGTGGAATGTTCTCTCACAGGTCCGCGAAAGTGGAAGAACTCTCATATTAACATCACATAGGTAAGACTCAATAGTCTATTAGAGTATACTATTTAAGGGAGGGTTTTGCACAGTTTATATAGTTCGAGCCTATTTACGACTTTATTCACAATGTTATGATCTCGTTTTTTAACCAAAATCTAGACAAATGTCGTTATCTAAATGTCCGGTTTGAGGTAAACTTAAATTAAGTTGTAGTTGTTAATAAGAAACCAACTATGAGGTTTCTCTTTCATAGGAAGGTGCAGTAAGAGGATAAAATGTGCGTTGAGCTCAAGAACTTCACTTTTTCCCAACTTTTGAACTTTTTCAGTGTATTATAACACATATTAGATACATCCTTCGACAATCTGCCTTTTTCCAATGTCTTACAGCACATCGAATCTTTAATGAGATCAGATACAAATATTATAAGTCTTTGGTGAGGTGAAGGATCTTCTAAAGATTAATTTCTCTATAATATATTTAGGTATTAAGTCACAAATAACCAAAAACAATCATTTCTGTTTACAACGTAAGCTACTATAAAACTGTTTATGATTGCTTTTCAGTTCAAAAACTGGAAATAATTTTAAAAAATTAAAATATCTTTTAAAAAAAAACAACCACTTATGTTACTTTTGAATGGCGACTTTTGTCACAGTGCCTTGGCATCTTGAAAATGACTAAAGACTATTATGAGACCACTCATGTTTACATTTTTTTTCGAACTGCAGTATGGAGGAATGTGACGCCCTGTGTACACGGTTAGTCATCATGGTTAACGGCCAGTTTGTCTGTCTGGGGAGCCCACAACATCTGAAGAACAAATTCGGGAATGGATACACACTGATTGTCCGACTATCAGCAGACAATACCGACTCCAGAGAGCTCAAGAACTTCATAAAAGAGCGGTTCAAGGACAGCGAGATATTCGATGACCATCACGGTTATGTCCACTTCCAGATTCCGGACGCCACCGTGTCGCTGTCCACGGTATTCGGTGCCATGGAGGAGGCGAAGTCGAGGCTGGGGTTGGAGGATTACTCCGTCCATCAGACCACATTAGAACAGGTGTTCCTCACCTTCACGACCAATCAGGTCCCGCCCAAAGAGAAGAAGAAACCCAAGGGGTGCTGCGGACTGTGCACGTGCTGCTCGTGCTGTGCGTGCACAATGTGCTGTGGTGAGGATTGAAAGGGTGCAGTTTGAATTCTGTTGTTGTTGTTGTTTTTATCCTAAACCAAAGACACAAGACTAAAAAAAAGGCACCTGCAGGAAACGCAATTCGTTTAGACAGCATTGTTAGATTGAACAAGATTGTTAATATAGTATGGAATGAATCTCACTTACCATAACAAAGAGAAATATCAGATCGTTATGTGGATTTCATGCCAACCGTTATATTTTTGTACTTCGTCTTTTGTGTTGATTGTTATTTACTAATAAACTTGAATAAATATATTTGTTGGATAATTGCTAACTTTATATTTTTCAGAATGGAAAACAATGGTTTAAAGATTTGATTGGAATAGATACATATTAAGTTATTAAGATGTGGCAAAAATACAGTCTTTTTATTTTTCATACTATGGGAAAATCAGTCTTTTTGTTGTTTAGTTTAGTTCATAGAAATACTCACCACGGCAGATTAGTATAGAATAGTCCTATGAAAGTGCTGTTGTTAAAGCTTGTAGTCTAACCCTGTGATATAATATTTCATTTATATGTGAAACACCAGGAGTAAACTGGGATCCACTCCTTTATATTTTCCAGATATATATCTTATTTATTCTGTTTTGTGTCAGTAGCGATACAATTTTCTCATGTTTGTAAATGTACTTGGAGATAAGATAATTTAGACCTTTCTTTTTAAATCAGATTTTATTTTGCATTTTCATACAAATGTGATGATTTTGTGATTAGCACTTCTTGTTTGATAAGGAAAATAATCAGTGTCATAATGAAGTTTATACTGTAGAATAATGAGGATATCCAGTTTAACATGTACATTGGATGACGAAAGCATTTATTATTGAGTTATCGTTCGTGACAGATCTCCAAATTATCTCAGATTTATATGTCTTTCTGTTTTATGAATTAACTTTTTTTATGGAAAAAATAAATAATATAAATGAAATAAAGGATTTTTATGTTAAAGGTCTACTAAGAATAAGTAAGGGTTCACTTATTTTTTTAATCTTAATTTATTAATCCTAAAGACAATGTATCTGAAGGCTCATAAAAATACAGTAGCCCTTTTCACAAAAAATCTTACGACATATTTTTAACTTAAGTGAAAACTTACGATGAAAGTCTTTTTCACAAACATTCTTTAGAAAGTCCTAAGTTTAAAATCAAACGTAACTTTACGAGAGCCCCAACCCTCTCTCAAGTATTTTCAACCCAATTTTATTGTTAAGATAACAACAAAATCAAAATACACATTTAATGGAGCTTTTAAAAGTAATTTCTAATATTTTATATTTTTTTTACAATCATTTTGTAAAATGAAATGGAATACACTATAAAATATTTACGATCAAACACATTTGGTATTTTAATAAATTTTATTAATGTGAACTTGTTACATTAAGATTGTTTAAGTCCTAAAATTTTATTAAATAATTCCAGTACAAAGTTAGCTCACAAATTGAGGTACCAAAGTTAAAGTGATTTTTTGTTAATATTTTCTCAAATTTTCTGTATAATTTCATAACTTTCATGCTGCTGTAGAATTTCATACGAATATATAATGAAAATCTTAATTTTTTCTGGAATTTATTGAAACTTAAATTGTTTAAACGCATTTGATTGTCACATTGGTGCACCTTCAAAATTTTTAAGTTTATCCTTTATACTTTAAAAAGTAGCAATTAATTGTGTATTAATGAAAACTCATGAAAATTTTTAAAAACAATTATTCAGAAAATTCAGAGAAGACTTGTGTAAAAACAAGACCAACACATCAGTTTTGTCAGTCCGTTCTCAGCGGTGTGTGAAGAGTTTAACAATTGAATACACCCGGTGAAACGTACACATATGAAACAACAAAGGCCCTGTTTACCAAAAACTGTGTATATTTCAGAAATGTATTTAATTTGTTAAACTGTGTACATAACATTGAGCACAGGCTGACAGGACTAGGGAATGGGTTTGCTTTTGCATATTTCTACTTTGAGTTTTCCGTATTAAAGTTTTAATATTTTTCATCAATACACAACACGATTGGTAGTTTTCTTCAGTATAAATGATTAACTAATATTTTGTCAAAATGTAAGCATTTGTCAATCAAATGAGTCTAAAAATTCGAAGTTTCAATAACTTACAGAATTTTTTTTTAAATTATATTTTCGTATGAAATGCTCTAGTATCTTATAAGTCATGAATTTATAGAGAAAATTTGAGAAAATATAAACTTCATATCTGTGTCCGAGCACCTTTAAAAAGAAAGAAGTATTGAAGTCAGTATACATGTTATATTTTAAAAGTCGATAAGTATTGTATTCCCTTCATAACCTACATACTACACAGATACCCCATATATATAAACTAAAAACATTTGAATGATACCTACATCCTAAACACAAGGCATTACATACAATTCACATCCTATATCTTATATACATCCTGCATATATTTTCATATTGCAGATACACTTCATTTTACATACGCCATGCAAAGTATGAACAGATTTTAACATTGTGATATAAAGACGTTACTTACAGACCATTATTTTACATTTGAAAGTTTCTTAATTAGGGCATTGGGACTCATTTAATTGAACTTCTAAACAATTTAATCACATATCACACTCCTTGTCGGGGATGCTCACTCCTCCATGGCACCTGATCCCACCTCTGATGTCTTGAAGGTTCGTGTTTGCTCTGCTCCTGTTTTGTATTGTTTTATGGGCTTTGATATTGAGTACTGTTCCTAATCTACACATCTTTCATTTTAACTAGTGCATGATTAACAGAAAATGCATTGCGTCACAAACGAATCTTATAAAATAAACATTAATATTCGTTTATCCCTTACGCTTCTCTTCGGCGTGAGAACTCCGACACTTATATTTATTTCTTCCTGAACTTTTCATTTCGAGCGACTGTGTTTCCCTCTCTCAAAAATGTAAACTCTTTTTGCTTCAATATTCAAGTGGTCAAGTTTAGTTGGACGCAAGAATGATTTTAAGACCATCATTAAGCAGTTAAACCAAATGAACAAAAAGTTTGAAGATATGGGTTTATTTTATTACATTAATCCAATCGAGATCGGGGGTTCAAGAGATTTAATGTATAACGGGAAATATTTCATTCCCATCCCATCAAAAGATGAGTTGAAGCTCTCCAGGGAAACTCTTGACTTGATATATCCGGTTACAGATTTTCTAGTTTCCGCTAACTTTATTATGTGATGTAGAGAAAAAAAGTCAGGGTAAAGAGTGGAATAGTCCGTAGGTCGGTTGCTATGGGTTTAACTTTTAGTGGAAGTCACGAGTGGTGCGTGCTGGAAGGTACAGTGAGGGGATTAAGTTTTAGTTGTTCAACAGGAAACACATGTTGAATTGTTCTAGTTATGTCTGATGATTCTCTTTTATATACTCAGTGATGTTCGAAAGTTCTACTTAATCAATTTGCTACCTATGTTTCCAAAGCAATATATTAACATTTGCTACATTGTCTAGAAGCCCAAAGGGAAAATTATTTGAACACCAATTTTGTTTATACTCACGCATAGAAATAGAAATATAAAAAAATATAAAAAGAGAAAAAAAATATATACACGTTTGCGAAAGTGGCGTCACAATGAGGCCACAGAGACATTAGAAAAATGCAATAACATAGGGCAGTGAGAAATTCAAATATTGAGGTTTTTTATGCTTTAAGACATGGAAAATGTAAATATAAGGAATGTTGTTAAGTTTTGTGTGAATTTTGGTGTGTGAATCACACAGACTTTGTTACGTAGGCATATTTTTCATGAAGCGCGCTATAAAAAACATTCCTTAAATAGATATTACACCTTTTGTGATGTATTATACGGATAAGTACGTGTTTGTTCTGCACCTGTTTTGTATTGTTTTAAAGACTTTTGAGCTTGAATACTGTTTGTTTTATCCATATATTTCATTACTTAATTTGGAATGGGCATCTTTCCAAACCTATCAAAATTTAATTGTTTAGCAAAATGTTCTGCCAAAACATTTTTATAGAAATCAATTTTTTTCGTGATCAAGGAATACTTGCCAATGTATCTGTATTGAGCTAAACTAAAATGTAACAAATTTCTTATAACCAACACACACACATAAACTAATGAAAAAATATATATTTTATAGTTTTACAGAATTTGTCAAATTATATTCTCGACGTGTGATATGCTGTATCTAGTATTAAAAACTTAAGGACATGACAAAATTAGAATCATATGCTTAAAAACCTTAATTTCATATCTTATACAATTTCAAAGTATATAAGTAGATGTAAACAAGACCTACCAGGACGAAAATCTCATCATCCTACTAAAGAAAATTTGCAAAGGATTCCAACTTCAGCATTTGCTCTTTACTTTGAATTTATATTTAAATTTATTATTATAGAAATACATGTGTAGCACAACAGTATGAAAACAAGTAAAACTAACCTTATTTAGGGTTAAACTTGAATAGCACTTAACCTTTATAATATAATACTTGCATATTTCACGTTTCCTTTTCATATTTTTTTTCATTTGGTTCTTCTCTTTATTAATGTTTTGCTTAAAAATGGGTTTATCTTAGTTTTTTCTGAACATTTCCTCACAAAATTTTCTTGTCCTTTTCGAGCTCTTCAGTCCTAGGGTTGGCCCCTTGGTGAGAGGTTGTTTCCTTTCCATTGGTTAGTTTCCGAGTCCCTCGCCAGGATTTATTTTTAGTTATATAATACTTGAGTAGACCTTACACTATATTTAGACATTCAAAACTTTCTAAATATCGCTATATATAGTGCCATCTTTTTAATTCCGTCCAACACAAACCATGGAAATCAAGCAACCAGATTTTCTTTCATTGCGGAATATCAAACGCTCACAATCAGTGTTTGTCAATGTGGCAGCTAGAAATAATGAAAACGAAACCAACTCTGTATCGCCAATGTTTCCTTTACATGACCGTAAAATACATAGCCCTGCATCACTATGTGAGTTAGGGCATTGTGAAAGAACCCATCCCTCTTTGGAACTGCTCCGAGAAAAAAGTGTGATTTACGAGGACAGCTCAGAACTATCGAGACAAAAAAAACTAAAGTTTTCATGTCGCCATTATACATTTCTTTTTCTGATTGCGCTTGGTATCCTTGTGACAAGTATCACCGTCTCTTACTTTTTTGCAACCCTGTATAAACCTTGTCATTCTGAGAGTCGGATTTCAGCCAGGAGAAACCCTGTGACAGAAAGTGCTGCCTCCGTAGTGTCTTCGAATCCGGGAAAACTGGAATTAGAAACAAAGCCAGTACCAGAGATAGAAATGGCTTTTGATTCAACATGCTCTAACGACGATAGTGAAATTTTGAAATGGCGACATGTTGAAAACGCCATAGGATTTATTGAGGGACTAGAATATGACAAGGGATATTTTATCCTTCCTCGGGCAGGTATGTACAAAATACATATGGCTCTAAGTATAGATGTCAGCTATATAACACTTAATAACTCGGACACTCTCGTGCTGTATATCTGCGTCTCAAGAAAAAGAGGTAAAGTTGATCCTATCAGGTGTGTTAAATCACGTGTGTCCCACAACTGGGCGGGACAAATTGTGATCGGGATCCCCAGGATGTTTTTCGACAAGAAGGAAATCTTGGTGACCACTATTACCTCGAACCGGAAGGATTTAAAAAACGTAAAACAAGTCATTAAATCTGACCCTACTGAGAGCCATCTTCATATTTATCACGTGTAAACGTCACGCGATCATCTCTAATTTTCTCTGAAAACCTGAACTCAGTTTTATTTGATATACTGAACAAGATTTGTTATTGTTTTTAATACTTATATTTTTATGTTTTTCTACAATGCTTTTTTGACCTTTTTTGGTCTTTTGGGTTGTTTATTTTTGTATTTATGTTATTTTTTTTTACTCGTTTTATG